GAGATAATCGGTAAAAATTAAAATATAGCTCCCATATATATCTTCGTCCGATTTGCCTTTTATTGTGCACCAAACGTGTAATATCATCCCGAATAGTATGAAATTTTGCACATATAACCAAAATAGGCCTGAAGATAAGTATGCCAAATTTGCTCGAAATCGGTTCAGATATAGCTATAGCTCCCATATATATTTGTTCATCCGATTTGTTATTTTTGTCCTCCGCAGCCGTAATATGCAATCTGTAACAACAATATTTAGGGAAATATATCAAATGCAGCTCAGAAATACCTTTGCTAAATTTTATCGAGATCGGTTCAGATTTGGATATAGCTCCCATATATAACTTCGTCCGATTTACTTTTTATTGTACACCAAACGTCTAATATTTGCCCAAATGGGATGGAATTTGGCACATGCGGCCGAATTGAGTCTAGAAGCTAGCATGCCTAATTTGGTGAAGATCGGTTCAGATATAAGTATAGCTTGTTCACCCGATTTGTTGTATTTGTTACCCACAGCCGTAATATGCACAACGATTTTCAGGGAAATATATCAAATACAGCTCAGAAATATCTTTGCCAAATTTTATCGAGATCGGTTCAGACTTGGATATAACTTTCATATATATATATATGTCGGTACATTTTTCGGAGCAGCGCTCATATTAAGGTACCTCCTGATTTTACCTATTTTGGGGGACTTGAACCCATTCTCCAATCGATTTGGCTACTTTGGATAGAGAACCATATTAGAGAATAATTTCAACATAGCTATATATTTTGGTGTAGTCCCCATAGAACGGTACCTCCCAGGTCCACTATTATGAGCCCGATCTGTAAATTATTATGCTTTTAAAAATATGCATTAAAAATTAAAACTACGGGCATGCGACGCGGTCCGGTCTAGCTAGTTTATTATATTACTGGGAATTGGATTTTTTCATTTGTAATTCGAATTATATGATCTTTAATTTCGATTACAATGTGCGAAAAAAATATTTTTTCAATAATTACAGGAACAACCGAGCAGATTATGAAAAAGAGCTAAAAATAGCAGAAACGTGTACTTGCGTTTATATCGAAAAGTAACCCAAAATAAAGTTGGCATGTTCATCCACTTTTTGTCGGAAACCTCTGCTATTTTTACAACCGTTTCATAAAACTTTACCATGCTACTGTATTACTAGATACTCAAGGGTTAATTATAAATGCATATACCCACTTCATTTATTATCCTGATAATGTTTTATTTACACACATATATAGTTATTGGGGCTTGTTGCTTGGCAAAAATGCTGGTTGCATATGAGGGGTAACTCTTTCTTTTTTCAGTGTACTCCCCCATGTCTTTAGTTCGTATAAGGCAAGTGTTTGATATTTGCTTCGGTTTGACACTTGCTCCATTTGGAAATGAAAGTAGTTCTTTGTCACCCTTCTCTTTTGAGACAGGTAACTAATATGTGTGTTTTGTGGTAATAGCTAATACTTTGTCGTTTCATAGGATTTGGAGGGAACCTCATGTGCTGTATTTGTGTATGTGTGTTACTTACGCCAATAATTGCGGTTTTTTGGTTACTAACGGGAAAGCTGATATGATTGGGCATTGTTTTTGAAGTGGAATGAGCTGTTTATTTGCATGTACATTCTAAAATCAGGTAATCAAAGGCTATAGTCGGGCGGACCGACCCTTTTGATTTGAAGGAAGATTCCTTTAAGATCATCCCCATATCTACTACATAATAAAACCAAATTTTGAACTTCTCGAATAATCATCTGTAAACAACTCTACCCTTACAAAAAGTTTCATGTCTCTTAGTCCTTAGTTGAGACATGTGGGGTGAGTGCAACATCTAGACAATTGCTAGGTTCTAGTTTTTATTGTGGTTTCCATTTTAAACCTTAAATATATGATGCGTAATATGCACTCCACAACAATAATCTTTCGTACCAGATATCATTTACAGCTCAGAAATAAGTGTTTACAATTTTGTTAAGATCGGTTCAGATTTGGATAGAGCTCCCATATATATATTTATTCGATTTCAGGTTTTTTGTGCACCAAATGACTAATATCAGCCCAAACGGACCGTATTTTGGCACTTCCGACGGAATTCAGCCAAAAAGTGAGTGCTTTAAATTTTGGTGAAAGTTGGTTCACTATATGTGTATAGCTCCCATATATATGCTTCGACCCGATTTGGTGTCAAAGTCCTTCACATGCGTAATATGCACTCCGCAACAACGATATTTGATACCGGACATCAGATACTGCTCGAAAATACTTCTGTCCAATTTTATCGAGAGGTTCAGAATTTTATACATCGAAGCTGTATAAAATTCTGAACCTTCACGCCTTCATCCAATTTTACGGTTATTGCTCGCCCTACAGGGTGAGATAAAAAAACTGCAACAAAATCAAACGCCACAATTTTTACATTTTCTTTTAAATTTTTTTGAATGAAATCAAAAAATGTCGGAAATAGCATCAAATTTTAGAATTAGTTTAGATTTGTTCGAATTGGTCAACTTTGGCACGAATTATGGCCTTTAAACGGTCAATGAAACCGTCACACGCAGCTTGAGGTGATCAACTCTCAACAAGAGAAAACCAAATTCGGCAGTTCACCACATTCGGCTAAGCGAAGCAACTCTTTAGCTCATTTGAGTATATTTTCTTTTTGTTGCGGTGTAAGATATTGTTTAGTTTAACCCCGAGCACATTTTTCATTTTTTGCCGAATGGAATATTGCGATATGTTCAGCTCATGAGCCATTTTTCGGCCATTGCGACGCGGGTTTCGATCAAGTCGCTTCTTTACTTTTCGAACCATTTATGCTGATTTTGCTGTTTTCTTCCGTCCACTTCCTTGACGTCGGGCTACGCTACCAGTATCACTGTAACCCGATAAGCGATGGTACGAGACACAAAAGATTTATTCACATTTAAATTCTGGAGTGCTCTAACGTTAGCCACATTGAAATAATGTTAACAGCTGTCGGACGAGTTTCTTAGAAATAACAGCAGTCTGAAGTTCATTTTACCCTGTGTATATATTATCAGCCCAAATTAAAATAGATTTGTTCAAATTCAACCGAATTTTACCATTTGTTGAAACTCGGTGCTGTATATCTATTGCTCCAAGAAATATTGTTGTAATATAATCCTTATCGAAGTCATATCATACACTATACAGCTATGTTATTTGGTTCATAGTTGGTATGATCTACTTCACATGAATTCGCAATATAATTTTTTTATTCAGGGAGCTCTACCAAATACACATGGTGGTGTAAAGTACCATATATTCGGCCGCGCTCGACTTTTGACCTTTCCTTACTCCAAAAAGGTCATTCTGAATTGGTGGGAATCCTCGAAATTCGTGAAAATTCTTGATTTATTAGCAGTTTAACTTCTTTGACATATGAAATTGTATATATTTTGTTATATTAGCAATATCTTCGCTAGCAGCATCACATTAACGGACAGAAGTGACATTTTAATATGTTTGTGATTTCACCGGGATGTAAAATATTTGCGGTTAAGTGAATTTTTTTTTAGTTTGGCTAAATATTTGTCCGATGACCAATCAAAGTAGTAGGCTTCTGCCCAGCCATAAATTAGCCCACGCTAAATTTCGCTTCGATTTGTCCATTTTTGCGACCTGTGGAGCAACTGCAAAATCAGAATTTTTTAGTTTTTGGTTTTGCGATCATCTTTAAAGGCAATAGGCTTCTATTCTGACCATAACTCTATCTACGTGGAGTCTTACATTCGCGAGAATTGGGGCATAATTGCGACCTGTAGCGTAATTACATATTATAGTGGACGGACACACATATCCGGATCTACTCAGCTCGACGAGATAGTAAGGTCCATATATAAAATACAATGTCGAGGACCAATATCCCGAGGTGGTACATAATATTTGGCCCAATCGATGGGTATAAATATTGAGGTTTCTTTTTATAGGGTCAAGGCTATATTAAGGATTTAAAAAAAATTAACCTAAATTTTCATGTACACACCGAGTACCATAAAATGCATTTGGAATATTCCACAATCAATAGTGGCTACTGCACATATAGTGAAATTACAGCGAATTCGGAAAAATGCTAAATTTATTATGATTAAACAATTAAAATAGGAAATAATTTTAATACCCTCTACCATTTGAAAAGAACTTAAAAAATTTCAAAAAAAAAAAAATCCATCGAACAATACAGTTTAAATTTAAATCATTATATGGGGGTTTAGGCGAACACGCGGACCTGCCTTTTTATAGGCTGTGGATGCGAGCTTTTAATACGAAATTTGGAACAATATCGCTAAAATTATTGATATACGGAATACATGGGCTTGGGGCTATATGATAACCTGAATCTGCCTATACAATTTTCTGTCATATGCTGATGTACCCATTAGGAACTTCAAATATGAAATGTAATACAATTCCGTTAAAAATGTTGCCAAAATTTTCAAAATACCGAATATGGGGTGGTACAGTTATATGGGGACTATAGGAAGACCTGAACCTGCGTAGTCAATATTCGTCATACACTAAAATACGAAATATCTGTCGGTACAGTTATATGAGGGTTATACCAAAACTTGGTATTTAGCCCATTTTTAATGCTAAAAGTTCTGTAGACCTAACACATATCTGTGAAAATTTTATCAACCTACTCCATTTCGTTCGTGATTTCCACAGACGGACGGACATCGCTAAATCGACAAAGATTAAACAAGATCAAGAATATATACCTTGTGGGGTCTAAAATTTATATTTGTAGATGTTACGAACGGAGTGACAAACTTAACCTACCATCCATACTATGGTGGGGGTATAAACTCTACAATTTTCTAAAATTAACGTGAAAAATGTAAAAGTTTTTTTGGGTCTTTCAGCAAATACACACAAATATTAGTTTTATACATTCAGATAGTTTAAGAGGACAACATAAAATAGTTTTTAATTTTTTTTTCTGTTTTTCTTTTCAGTTCTTGGCGGAAAATGTTTTCGCTTCTATTAATTGTCCTTACCGTGGGAAGGACGCAGACAATTGAATTAACTGGCCAAGCTATCAAAGGTAAGTGGAATGACATTGATTTTTTCTATTACTTTAAAAAATTATTAAATAAAAAAATGGAAATTTATCCATAAATAATCTCTTTAGCTTCAAAATACAGTGATGAAGAAGATTGTGAGGGTTTGTTTTATTATTTCTTCTACATTAAAACACAGCTAGCTAGTGAATTATTTTTTAGTCTTGCTTGTAAAAATGAACAAATGAAAAACAAAAGCCTTGCATACTTTTAGGCTCGTAGAAAATATCCCAACATTTTCAATTGCTTTGCTTATTTCTTTATGTTCTTTTACTGATAATTATCAACTGTTTACAGATGCCATTGCCGAATACGATTTACTGGCCATGATTAATGAAAATTTAAATGGCATTGAATTTGATTATGCCGAGGATGGTTTTCCAGCTTACAAAATTTTGCAAATTGCTGATATAAAATCACCCTATCGTATGATCCTACCCGAAAAACTAAACGCTTTTGCCATACAGACGACATTTCAGACAACATCACCTAAGGGTGGTTATCTATTCAGTGTCGTGGATCCTCTAGATACAGTTGTGCAATTTGGTGTGCACTTTTCTCCGGTCATCAAAGATTCATGGAACGTATCACTACTGTACACAGATTCAAATATCAGTCCGATTAGCAAACGTTTGGTCACCTATCAGTTGCCATATGAACCAAAGAAATGGATAAAATTGGCATTTAAAGTTATGAGCGACAAGGTGGTATTCTATTACAATTGCGAAGAGAGGGAGACGACATCGATTGTAAGAGATCCATTGGAATTGGTATTTGCCTCATCATCCACTTTGTATTTGGCTCAAGCTGGGCCGAAATTGGGTGGCAACATGGAGGTAAGTAATCAGATTTCTAATTAACTGTTTATTAGACTAATATTATTTTCCCTCGATGAGCCAAACAATAGATGAATTAAATGTTTATTTCTTGAATTTTCAGCGGTTGGTGTATATTAAAAAAATGGCAAAAAAATAAATTTTTAGAAAAAAGAGTACATGTATATATACCTATACTTGTATTTAAATAATGTGGGTTTACAGCATTTTATTAAACTGCCCAGCTAACAATTTATTCCGAACTCGGAAAATAACTCTGCACAAAGTTCCGATTCTGATGTCGAATTCGAAACGACCTCGGAACAACGTTGTGTGAGATTGCCCAATATTTTCAAAGTTCTTTCGAAAAAATATTGGAAAGAACATTAGAGTTTCGTAACGAGTTCGATTAGAATTCGCAAAAGAAAAAAAGAAAAAAAAAATATCAAGATCGCTTCAGATTTAGCTTCCATATATATCTTCAACCTATTTCGGGTTAATTGTGCACCAAATGACCAATATCAGTACAAATTACCTGAATTTTGGCATTGACATCAAATTTAGTGAAAATCGATTCAGATATAGCTATAGCTCCCATATACATGTTTCATACGATTTGGTGTTTAAATCCCTCACGTTCATGATATACATTTGACAACAGTGATATTTGTTACCAGATAACTTATAGAGCTCATAAATACATTTGCCGAATTTTAGGCTTAGATTTGGATATAGCTCACATATATATATATAATTATCCGATTACATGTCTATTGTGCAAATAATGTCTAACATCAGCCCAGATGGAGTGAATTTCGGGACGTACGTTTCAATTTAGTTGAACTCGGCTCCGATATATATTTTTTCATTATAGTCCTTCTCGAAGTGATATCATGCCCTCTATAGCAATATTATTTGGTATAAAATATGAAAATGTCTCCGTCAAATTTAATGAAAATCGATTCAAAATTGGATATGCCTCCCCTATATTAGTTCCCTCTGAAACCAAAGCATAACTGCTCTAAAGCCAATGGAGCCCATACCAAAGCCATAGACAATAGAAAAAACGTGGGCCTTAATATTCAATGTTCTGTCACTACCAATTTTTAGACAAATTCGTGGAAAATGTGGCTAAAATCATCAAAATACCAAATATCGGAAGGTTCCGTTTTTTGGGGGCTATACAAAAAAGTGGGGGCTATACAAAAAATGTTTCGCCCCCGGAGCTATAATTCGTGAAAAAAGTGGCGAAAATCATCAAAATACTGAACATCGGGAGGTACCGTTATATGACTGGCTGTACCAAACCGATTTACCTCATTTTCAATACCAACCATCCTAGACACAATACAAATTGTTCTGCCAAATGTTGAAGCTCTACGTCAAATAGTGTGGGCTGTATCGTGATTTCAACAGACAGACAGACGGGAAACCGACTTAGAATTTTATGCTTATTATGAATATATATACTTTTTGGGGTCTACGGCGAATGTTTAGGGTTGTTATAAACGGAATGACAAAGTTAATATACCCTCCGTTTCAAGGTAGAGGGTATACAAATCGGATATCAGAGCCTCGGAAAATGTTAGCTGGGTGCTTAGTAAGCTGGAGCAAAAAAATACTCCACATCCAAATGTTTTTACTTTTGAAAGAATTGTTGTAATCGTCGAAAGCTATATGCTAACATATTGGTCGATTTTATAATTTTTATACTACTGTGAAAAACTTGTCGACTCTCTAAACTTGCAAAAGCTTTTCCACTCGTTTAATACATATGCTTTTACCGTTAGCTTTACAAAATACAAAACAAAGAGCGCCATTTTTTGTGTTTGGCGCATATTTTCTGAATTATATTTTCGAAGAACAACAAATATACTCTCTTTTCAAAGCAAGTTTAAGAGATTTTCATCCACCATTGACACGAAGTTGTAGGTACACGAACGCTGCATGACCTACGACAAGGTAAAAACGATTGATACAGGTTATATTTTCTAGGGGTTGTTTGTCTATATACAGTCTATGGTTCAGAAAAAAGCGTATAGGTGGCGCTAGAGTTTCTTTGTAATTTTGACAAAAACTCGGAGCGCAATGTGTAAATATAAATACAATGTGGGTATATGTTATACATACTTATTAATGTACATACATAAGTATATATTTAGAAATGAAGAGAAAATCCGATTTGCCTTAAATGTACCTTTACATATGCTTTTGCAGTAAAGCATTGCTGAATAGGAAAATGTTTCACAATATCTTGGCATATTACTCATTTAACTATGTATGTGTATGCCTTGTTATTGACACAGTTTTTCAGAAAAAAAAACTGGTTAATACACATGTTCTGACCAAATCAATTTATCATACTCTAATTGTTATTTTATTACAAATTTATCTTTATTTATTTTATTTTTTAAGCCTTTTTTTAATCCTTAAAAGTATATTTAAAATACTTTTTCAAGGAACAAATCTCTGACACTCTTAAAGCCAATTTTAAGAGATTACCAGCCTTTAGATTCCCATAATTTTATGAGAACATATTCATTGTATTTTGAAGAGAAACCCTGTGTCCTTTAAAAAGTATTTGCTGAATATGAGAGAACTCGTAGCACATATTTGCTTCGTGTAAATGCGTAGGCCAGCGAGAATGCCTTTGGAAATGTTTTCAAGCTCTAAGAAAGTGTAAAGGAATTTTTTGAAACTTATCATTGTTTTCTGTCACACGATGTTTTGTGTAATGGGAGAGAGCGAGATGTGTTAGAGAGTGGAGAATTGTAAGACTCTTGTGGTTTTTTACTTGCCGTTGTATTTCAGCCCCCAAAAATAACACCGCTATTCCTGAAAATCATTGTTTTATGCTCTTTTTACACCTTTTGTTACCCCCTGGTTTCTCTCGCACGAACAACCTATAAGTGACCAAAACGAATATGCCAACGAGTACATTTACCTCAGTCGCGTTTTAAATCGCAACCGGTTAAGATGCTCCTGGAATGTACAGCATAACTCTATATTTTGTGGATATTTCGTTGATGGAGTAATTAAATGGTTACAAATACGGTGGACGAACACGAGAACTCTCTTTCGCTGGTTTAAGATTATTTATTTTAATCATCAAATTTATTCGTTGTGACAACCAAGGAATTATTGTGCAATAAAATCCATAATGTGGCCAAAAATTAATTCAAATTTTGTGCAGTTATACCGTTAAATGCAAAAGAAGAGCTCCATTGTTTTTTTTTGTGCAAGTGTGTTCTATATTGTCCACGAAAAGCAAAAAAAATGAATGTGTCATTTCGAGTTGAAATTCTGCCGATGGTCTTGCGGTTGATCATAAAGTTAATTAAAATGTATGGTTTTTATGGTTTATCCTTGCTACGTTGATTGCTTTAAAGTATAATTAAAATAACAACAACCGCGACTCCGTAGAACGGAATTTTTACGAAAACCTCCGAATCGAGAGGAGTTACACGTGCTTCGCGAGGCATTTCGGGTCGTAAAATCATAATTGGCGGTAGAAATACGGGCGCGTGTTTTCTTTGAAATTACAAAGTTTTATAATTCTGCCGGTATAAAACAAGTCCTTTATTTTACGTGGAATCGAGTGGGGTAGTGAAAAAAAATCAATATCAAAGTTATAAACTCTAAAAACAAAGCCAAACAATTTGATAAGGCTGAAGTAGAGTACGATTTAACGATAAAAGGTAAAATTAGTGTTTCAAAGCTCTAGATAGAGGAAACGGCGTAAAACAAAACGACGCCAACGAAACTTATTTACCCCAACACACGGATTTAATTTTAATATTTACCTTAAACCCAAATCAAAATATTTAGACTGAACGCTGTCTTCAGGTCAACATTTAAGTGCAAATGAAATTTCGGCCTTGATGGCAGCGTTGCTAGTATGTCAACAATGTGATGTGTTTGTTTTTGTCGTCGTTCCAGCCTGATTGTATCGCATGTTTTGTTGTTGTTGTTTTCCTTTTTTCTATTTAATTAAACATCATTCTTGACACGCATTCATTCGGTGGTGTCCGGATTTCCAACTATGGGTTTTGTGTGGTGCTTGTCACTAAGCTCATCATCATCATCGTCGTCGTAGTCATTGTGATCCTGGGCCACCATCATGCCCCCGCCGCCACTCAAATTTAATGAAAGATTGTCGTCAGGTGAACACACAAATTGTTGCTTCCGCACGCCTTTTGTAAACTTATATTTACATTTGTCGGACTGGCGTTCATTGGCCGGATGTAATGTTAGGAAAAACATTGTTCTTTGCAATTCCATCCCTCAACAGGCCAGCAGAATGAGTGAAAATTAATGCGTGTACTTATACCAAACTATTCATGTAATCATATCGCGATGGGTATAATCAAAACAAAGCAAAACAACAAATTACCCTTGTGCAATTTAAAATTAAAAACATAAAATATGGAAAAATATAATAAAACAACAAGGACTTAAGAAATACATAAATAACAAAAAAGTTGATGAAGTTGAAAACACAAAAGGATAAAAAGTTCATTTTAAAACACGGCATTACATTTAATTATTAAAATTAAATAGAAAGTGAAATATTTAAAAAAAATGTAAACAAATGTGGAAAAAAGGAAAAATAACAAAAACAAAAATACTAAAGTAAATAAATTAATAAAATCACATGTTAAAGTGTTGGAGAAAATTGGCGGTCGACAAACCCCACACCACTTATTAATGTATGGGTTTTGTGAAAATATGTTATGTGTATGTTAATTATTGTGGACATACGTATTCTATAAGAAGTAAAAAAACATTAAGTTCGGTCGGGACGAACTTTAAATACCCTCCACCATTAAGTAAAGAAAATATTAAAAAAAATATTTGGATTTAAACGTGTTCCATTTTAAACTTCAAATTCCTGCGAAATCGAAACAGTAATGGAAAGTCAAAAGTCGAGCGGGCCGACTTTATGGTATCCTACACCCCTTTGCATATTTAGTAAAGCTTCATAAAATAAATACAAGTTTTTATGGGAAATTAGTGAGAAT